TTACTGACCAAATTTTTGAACGATAGACAGTGTATATATATATATATATATATATATATATATATATATATATATATATGTTACGAATATGTGCGAATATTATATAGCGAATATAAATAAACATAAAGCGAATGGCTTTAACGCATTTCTTTATTACGTTTTACCCATAGGTCCAACCAACGCAGAAGACTGATTGGACCTTTTTGCTCTATGCCTCATCTGAGCTCGAGCAGATAGATGGCGTAGCGACATTGCTAACCGAATCCTGACGCTTAGCCCTCCCCTCATTGTTTTTCTGAATAAGGGGAGAATACAGCACTACATGTAATATTTGCTCACGCCAAACTGAAAGCGAAGAGCACAGACTCTATTTGAGCTGTTTTGTTGTTGAACGAGGCATTAAAAGCGAGTAATGTAGGACGGATGGTGTAACGTAAAAGTATTAGCAGCCTGCTAGCGCTTCACATATGTGTTTGTATGTGTGTGTGAACCCGGGACGCGCAGAGGCTTTTTTACTCAATAACACTACGAAAGAAAAGTGCGAGAGAATTTTCTCGGCTAAGCAAATATCAGGAGTCGCTGGCTCGGATTTAGGCTCGTTTTATGAGCAAGAAGAGAAGAGAGGAGCAGTAAACTTGACTCAGGTAGGGTTGAAGGCATTTTTTCCTCCTTTTTTTGCTTTGCTTGCTAATCTGCCATGGCGAGCTGCTGAATTAGCTACATTTATAGTTGTGGCTTGTGTATTAAAACCACAACAGCCCTTGACTGTTTATCCATAATGTTGGTTATTATAACCGGATAAACTTCAAATAGTAACATATTTCACTCTTCCACATAGAACTAGTAAGCAAAGCTTAGTCACTATGGTTAGCTTACATGCTAAACCAAAAGAAAGCATTAACATCACGTAAGTTCTTTAGTGTATTGCATAAAGAGGTTGAAACAACTAGACATGTCGCATTTTGGTAACTTTTAACATTTAGCATTCAGAGTCACCTGAATGCTACATGCACATAAAGCTAGGCTAGCTGAGTATGCGTAGTGTGCAGTTATTACAGATGTAATGCCTTCATGTTTGCGGACACCTCATTTAATAAAGAGGAAGATTCATCTTAGAAATAAGCATGCATGTTCAATTTGAGCTGTCAGTAGCCACCAGCATGTTATAACCAGTTTCAAATATGTGACTGACTTGATTTAAGACATACTCGTCCAGTTGCCCAGCATAACATATAGATACTATTGAGTTCCTAAAGCATACTTGGCATGTTAGAGATGTTTGTGCTTGTGAAAAGCCAGCATAGTCTCCACAAGAGAGCTATTTTGCTTCATCTAACAGGTCCTCCCTCATTGTCCTGCCTTTATTTGTATTTTTTTTTTTAAAGAGGCTTGTGCACTGTGCCTTATTTTGGACCTCTGCAATTAGATGGGGCATTGTTTAGGAAAATTACTGGACAGGAACGTATTCCCCTGTCTTTGTCTTGACTGTTTATTTCCTATGGAATTCTGGAAGTCATCAGGGTCTAATTAAAGGCAAGTCTTAACTGATGACCAAATTGGTTTACATCAAGTCCCATCCTGTTTGCCCCCCTTGAGTTCATTCACCTCCACAGTATCTCTCAGTTTCCCACACAGAACCTTTTGACTCCGTGTTCCCAGGAGCCTTAAAATGTGTTGTGAGATTGTGCTAATGAAGAATTGTTTTGCAACCCAAACTGATTTCTTTGTGATAATGGAGATGGTCACAGTGAGGATTATTTGGTGTTGTAGGAAATATTCAGGGATTTCAAGTGCCTTGCTTATCAGATGTCCCCCAAGCAAGACTAGAGATGGTGTGATTTACTGATAGCCTAGTGTCTACCTATGAGAAACAAAGGTAAGTGTTTTAATAAAATATAAATGCTTTATCTGCTGCTGCTCTGTTGAGAGAGTGTCGTCCTTAATATAGCTCAAGAAGCACCATTGTTGTTCATCAATGTGGGTAATTCAAGAAACAATCGAGTGAAGAGAGCAGTGCGGTTTGGGTCCTGCAGTATGTTGTACACATGGTGTGACTCTGGTTGAGGTGTAGGGGTTTCCCCCTCTTTTTTCATCTTACTATGATGTAGCCCATCCTTTCCTCTGTTACTATGCTGCAATATGTGCTGGTGCCAACAGTTAAGTGAGATTTATGTTTGATGGCACTGCAGTTCTGTGTTAAAGGGATAGTTGACCTGAAAATGTGAGTTCTCTCATCATTTACTCACCCTCATGTCATTCCAAAACCGGTAATGAAATATTTGGAAGAATATTCATGCAAATCAGTGACGACAAAATTAGTTCATATGACTTGTGCTCTATATTACAAGTCATATGATTATTCACTGATAATCTTGCCACTCAGTGAGATTATAAATTGATTTGTGAACTGGATGAACTGGTTAATTGCAAAAAACCAGAATCCAGATTTTATTCTCCGATCCGTTTCTTAAGTTCAGTTAATAGTCTCAGTGGTTTTTGCGGCAGTTTGAGTTTGCACCTTGCAGAATAATGACTTACTTTTTGATCTGTTCCTCACAGCTTTCAGTATGACTGGAATTTAGTGCATTTATAGAATACAGTGCATTTTTCCATTATTGATTTTGGTGCTTTCCTTGTATAGAAATGAACTGTGTGAAGATTCTTTGAAAGGTTATTTATTTTATTTATACATTTTTATTTTTTTGCTTTTCTTTTGTTTTTGTGAACTGCTTTGTACTTTCTATATTTTTTTAATTGCAAAAAGCATGCATAATGCTTAGACAGACACTAGATAAAAATGATAGGCAGGGCTCGAGTAAGGATTTTTCTTTTCTGCTGGCTCATTCAGGCCAGTAATTCAGATTTTCTATTTGCCCTACTAGTATTTTCACCACATGACACAATAATCCATTTTATTTTCAGTGACACATCTGTGTATGAGTCAGAAAAAAATATAGTTATAGTTTTCATTAACTGGTGTGCTTTGACAGCAAATATTTTGTTGAGTTTCTACTTTTGAATAGTGACTTGACTTACTATATACACTTCTGTACAAAAGTTTGAGGTCAGTTAGATTTTTCATGATTTTGGAAAGTCTCTTAAGCTCACCAAGGCTGCATTTATTTGATATACTGTAGAAACTGTAATATTGTGAAATTGTATTACAGCTAAAAGTTTTATTTTTTAAAACATATTAAAATGTATTTTAATTCTGTGGTGACAGCAAGTTTTTCAGCAGTACTCCAGTCTTCAGTGTCACTTGATCCTTTAGAAATCACTCTGTTGATTTTGTGCTTAAGAAACATTTCTTATTATCAGTGTTGGAAAAAAAATGTTCTGCTTATGTTTGTGGAAACTGTAGTGCATTTTTTCAGGATTATTTAATAAGATTTTCAAAAGAAAAGGGTTTATTTGAAATAGAATATAATTTTTTGTAACATTGTTATAAATGCCTTAGCTCAAACTTTTGATCATTTTGATCCATCTGTTTTGAATGTATTAATTTATAAAAATAAAAAAAAATTAATAAAAAAAAGTGACAACGCAGTAATTGACCCAATAGGACAAGTGACAGATCTGCCAGCTGTTCCAAAACTCTCTCACACTGTGGACCATCAGGCTATCTTCATTGTTGAGCCTGTTTACGGGGTAGGTAGGTATTATTATTATCAGTAGGTATTATTATGAAGAATAATTATGAAATCTTTTGCTGTCATGAATAAGTTCAACTGTCTCTCTGGATTTGCCAGGGTTTTGCAGACTGATGGTACTTGTGTACAATGTAACATGAGTAGCTTGCCAATTGTATAACCTTGAAAAGTATCGAACAACTGTGTATCGGATTGTATCGATTAATGGCGCCCCAGGTATGATTTGAAAATAAGGTTTCATTGGGCTTTTGTTGGCTGCACACTAGGGGTGGGCGATATGAGCTAAAATTCATATCACAATATTTTACACCGTCCAGGCAATATCGATAATATATTGTGATATGAGGGAAAAAAAATTACAGGCAAAATATTTTTTCTCTATTTCTAATTTTTCTCAAGAAGTGCAAACGTGCAACATGAGGTAGGCCTGTATGAATTGAATTAAATGAAATATTGTGTGTTTGAGTAGGCCAGTGGTTCCCAAACTTTTTCTGCCGGGC